GGACAAGATAAAACAAGAGCTGGAAGAAGCTCAGCACCGCTGGAACTTCAACTTTGAGACAGAGACTCCCTTGGAAGGGCCGTTCAAGTGGGAGAGGATCCTGGTGCCTGAGCAGCCGCCCCAGGAGGTTCACAGCCTGGTCAGGGCTGTCATCAGCGGTGACAGCAGGAGCTCCTTGGCCCACAGGGTCCCCCCCAAGGACCGTGTTGGCAGGATTTGCCCTGAGGAGGCTCAGCAGAGCTCGAAGGTTTACAAGGCTGGTTCCCTGCAGAGCCTGAAACGTGGGCAGACCACGATCAAAGGTGAGTGCTGGGGGTCGGTGTCACTCCTTGGGGGCTTGGTGGCATTGATGTCATGGCAGGGACAGACAGAGGGGACTTGGGTGCCAGAGCCCTGCCTGGCTCTTGGGCATGGGGGGGGTCCCACCCTCCCTGGATCTCTCCTAGGGAAGCAGAGCCCATCTTCCAAAGGGAAAAAGGCCACCAGCTGGGTGCCTTTTGGCCACTGGGTTTGTGCAGGGGACTGGCACTGGGCCTGTGGGTTTTGTAGCTGAAGATGCCCCCAAATCCTTCACCTTCAGTTCCAATGGCCTGACCCAATCATAGAATCACAGAATTTTAAGGGGTTGGAATGGACCTTAAAGATCATCTTTAAGGTCCCATGGGCAGGAACACCTCCCACGATCCCAGGTTGCTCAAAGCCTTTATCCATCCTGGCTTTGAACACTTCCAGGGCTGGGGCACCCAGAACCTCCCTGGGCAACCTGTGCCAGTGTCTCACCTCTCTCACAGTGAAAAATTGCTTCCTGTCCTTCATGGAATAGAACTGCAGATGAGACAAACAGCAGAGATGATGCAGACTTACAGCTCTGCTCTCAGCAGCTTTGTGTGGGGGCTTTAGTGTGAGACCCACCTGGGCTGCTGTTGGGATGCCTCCCTGGGGACACCTCCCACTTCCTGCCCTGCTGCTCCCAGCGGGCTGGAGACACTTTCCAACCCTTTCCTTCTTCCTTCCAGACTTCTACAGTGCCAAGAGGAGGATCGTCCCTGCCCGGCCCCAGCCGTGACTCGCTGGGGCAGCTGCTGCTGCCAGGGCGAGCGTGGCTCCCCCGCCCTGTGCTGTGCTCACCTGTAGCAATGTAGAGTCTGTAGTTCCCTATTTATGAGTAACTCTGGGGTCCTGAGGGACCTTCACTGTGTGCAATGTAGAGGAGGAGCCCCGTGGTGGGGCTGGAGGAGGACTGAGATGGACCTGGTGGGACTAAAGCACTGCCCTGCCTGCAGAAAAGTGTCCTCTGCCCTGTGCCTGTGGGTCCAACACCGTCCTTGTGCCATCCTGCTGTCCAGCCGTGGTCTGCCCCCTGCCTAGGGGCTGGTCCTGGGGGACACTTGTGTCCCAACCACCTGGTGGCACCAGATATCTTTAAGAAGAGTCACTGGTGTGGATTGCAGAGCCCTGGGACACCCCTGCTGCTGGCACATGGGGGTGTCCCTGTGTCCCAGCAGGATGGACCGAGCACTGTCCGTGTGCGGGAGCAGAGGGATGTGGAGGCTGCTCCTTCCCCCGGCTCTGGGCAGAGGAAGCCGTTCCTGGACAAACCTTCCTTGGGGTGACTCCCGGGGACCAGCCGGGGACCAACACTGCCCCCGGCAGGCTCTGGGATCCCCTGCACTCTGCCGGCCCCAAATCCCACTTTCTTTCCCTGTTGTTGGCTTGTTGAGTGGTGCTGCTTGCCCCCGTGTCCCTGCCTCCCTTAACACTGACTCCAGGCTGGGGAGCCCTGCTCTGCCTCTGCTGGGCTCCTCTCGGAAGAAGTCGTGCTCAGCAGCAGGGATGCTGCTGAAATAAGGAATTGTAGCTTGTTTTCGTGGACTTTTTCTCCTTTGGGGCTGGCAGGGAGAAGATCCTTCCCTGGCTCTGCTCTGGGACCAAGGGATGGCCTGGAGCAGAGGCTGCTCAGTTCCAGCACTGAAGGATGAGTCCCTGAGGGACTCAGCACTTTCATGGAGTTCATCTCCTGCTCTGCTGGATTTGGACTCTGGAAACTGGTGCAAGATGGTCCCAGGAAGAAAAGGGACAGGGTTGATCTCCCACCTTGCACCACAATGCACTTTGCTGTCGGTGAAGCTGCCAAGCTCCCAGCATTAAAAAATTATTTATATTTAAAATAATGCTATTAAGTGTATGTGGGGAGAGGGGAAATAGCTGTTTGTCTGTAAGTGTTAACTCTAAATAAACATCTGTGCAAAGGCATTCTGGGTTAATGTGGGTGACTGGGAGCAGGGCCTGGCTGGGGGAGGAGGGTGTTCCAGGGACTGGGGATCCCTCTGGGGGTGCAGCCCTGAGCTGGGACCTGCCTTTGTGAGGGCTAACAGGGTAAAGCCCTGCCACATGCTCTGTGCTTGACCCCATTCCCTGGGGACAGTGGTCTGGTGCCAGCACCGTGTCCCCAGCAGAAGCCAGTGCCACCTGTGTGGGATGTTCTCTGTTGCCCCCATTGTTCCCCCTTCCCCACTGTGACCCTGCTCCCCCTAACCCTCAGGACCCAGTCCTGTGGTGCAAGTGGCCATGAGCCACGGGCAGGCTGCTCCCCTCCCTTACCCCTCTAAAGGGGTGCTGGGTGCCCAGGCCACGAGGGTGACCCACCTGTGGATGGGGACACAAGAGTGTGTGGTGGCACAGCTGGTGGAAATGTGCATTTCCTGGGTGGCACTGAGATCCCAGGGGAGTCAGGGATGTCTTCACCACTGGCTGCTTCCCTGGAGGACTGAGCAAGGCTTGGATGCAGACTCAGGTTCTGGTTAATGTGAGAAATCACCAATTGCAGAGGATCCAGATGAAAAGAAAGCTGATGGCAATGAACAGCCTGGTGCCATTGTTCAGCTGAGGATCCCTAAAGTCTCTGCCTGTCCCTGAGTGAGGGGTGACGTCTGTGCAGCCCCATGGCCCTTGACACACACTCAGCCTTTGAGCTGCTGCTGAGTCAAACCCTACAGATTTAGCCCCTGTAATCTCTCCCCTTACGTCAGTCCTTCCAAACCCCCCTGGCTGCTGCCAGGAGCTCCCCTCTGCTGTCACCACCCATTTGCCAGGAGCAGCAGCAATGAAGGAAATGAGGAATAAATCAGTGAAACCCCCTTGTCCGTGCTGTGGCTCTGAGTTCTGCCTTTGCTGGGCACCAGGGCCTGAGCTCTGGGTCCCCAGGACACTCCAGGACTGTGTCCCCCCAGCTCTGGGACACAAAACAGTGTCTCAGCAGCTCCCACTTTCAGCCCAGGCTGTGTTTGGCTCTCCCACCCCAGCCTGGCCTCAGCACAGAGCGGGATGCTGAGGGTCAAACCCCACAGGGGGAGGGTCGGGTGCTTCCCTTCCCTTGCCCACATTCAATCCCCTTTCCCTGGCACCTTCCAGCCCTCCTCAGGGTTGGATCCTGCCCTCCCTCCTGGGCTGTGCCCTCTGGTGACCGCTGCCAATCCACTGGAAGCACAATGCCAGAGTCTTGCTGGGCAGAGGGCACAATATGCGTCCCCAGGGATATTTAGGGTTTTCCCTTCAAAAGGGAAAATTTTCTCCTCAAATCCTTGGGGAAAGCCAAAATCCAGCCTTCTCTGTGCACCAACAAACACTGCAGAGGGTTGGAGGGTGAGGGGACACACTGAGCCCCCAGCCTGACCGAGGGGATGCTTCAGTTTGGGGCAAGCAGCCCCAGCTTTGCCCAGAGTGTGGAGAAGAACCAGCTGAGCTTTTTGCTGGCCCTGATGGAGCAGATGGAGCTGAGCTGGCTGCTGCTCCCTTCGGTTAAACAGCAAATGAGCAGGGTGTGGCTGGTTCCCACTGAGGGATTTCACCTGTTCAGATGGGCAGAGAGAGTTGGGGCATCAGCTTCCACCCCACAGCTCCTGCCCTGGAGCCCGGGCTCACATCTGCTGTGCGCCAGGGGATGTTTGAGCAATGCCCTGGAGATAACAACATTTCCTCCTGCCTCAGTTCTCTTCACATTTTGCAATTAAAGAGCAGGAAAAGTGCCTGTGATCCACCCGATCCCCCTGTCCCTCATGAAGCAGCAGCCAGTGGGTTTGGTGCTGGGTTTAAAGCCAAGTTTATAGTTCAGCCAGGAGCCTTAAAAAAACCATCAGAGAACAGCAGAGGGGGGATTTCTTCAAATTCTAGGGCCAAAGAGCCTCCACAGGGGGGATTTTCAGGTTGTTCTTCCTCTGGTAGGATGTTATAAGCCATGGGCTACAGATAATCTTGTATTTTGGGTTATTTGGAGCCTTAAAAAAACATTTGCTGTTTGTCTGCTGTTCTTCCCCCCACTCCAAACACCCCCAGCCCCAGACCATTGCAAACCAGGAAGGGACAGGGACTTTGCTGCCCTTCCTGATGGCACTGGCAGTGCCTTGGCAGAGCTGCCGGGGGATCTGGGGACTCTGGGGACACCGTGACCCTCTGGATGGGTCCTTCCTGCGCCCCACTTGCAAGGCAGCAAACAGGAAATGTGTGAGCACCGGCAGTTGCTGTCACCCCAGAACGGAAAGCGCCTTGAGAAAGAGAGACGAGAGCGGGGGCGGCCGCGGGGTGGGAGCGGCGTCCCCCCGACCTGGGGAGCCCCTCGGCCCCGTGTGCCCCACACTGAGCGTCCCTCGTGGGGAGGGTAAGTCCTGCTGCTCCGGGGATGGCTCAAGCACCACCTTAAGAAATAGAAAAGTGAGGGAATTAAGGGGTTTTATCCTGCTGGTGGTGATCCAAGGGGGCTTTTTCCTGCTGTCTGTGAGGGACTGTGGCTGGGGACTCCTTTCTGAGGGCACAGGGTGCTGTGGAGAGAGGCGGGACACTGGGAGCTGGTGATGCCATGGGGGGCCCTGCTTGGCTGGGGGGGAAGGGGGCACAATTCCCATCCCATCCCCATCCCCATCCCCATCCCATCCCATCCCATCCCATCCCATCCCATCCCATCCCATCCCATCCCATCCCATCCCATCCCATCCCATCCCATCCCATCCCATCCCATCCCATCCCATCCCAATCCCCCTGCTCGTTCAGCACCTCCATCACGCTGTGGGCTCAGCTCACCTGCCCTGGAGCTGGAACAGGAACCAGGGGCTTCTCCATGCCTTGAACAACCCCCCTGCCCCCCAGAGCTCCCACTTCTGCTGTCTTCAAGGCTGGGACCACCACAAGGGTGTTTCTGGTCCTGTGGGACTCCAGCAACTCCACAAGACCCTCTTGCTTTAAGGGTCTGGGGCTGGTGTTGGGCCCTGTTCCCATTTCTGCTGTACACTGGGGTTTAGCAGGATCTGTTTCATGGCAAAGGAAGGGGCAGAGGGCTGCAGGAGCTGCTGTCCCCGGGGTTGGGGGGGGGAGCTGGGCTCAGCCCGACCGAGCACGGCCCCGGCTCTGCGTCACCGCTCCCCTCAGCTCTGCTTTCCTTCCCTTGGAGTTTCAGCTTTGCCACACAAAGAACAGCCCCTCTTGGGGACGGCATGGTGGCTGTGGGTGACACAGCCGCCCACCCAGGCTGGGGACAGGGCACTGGGGGTCCCAGCTCAGGCCCCACAAGCCTGGGCGAGCAGCAGCATGACATAAAGCTCCCAAGGCCTCGTGCCCTGTGCCCGGAGGTGACTCACAGCTGTGAAAACCGGGGGAGGAATTTTAAAAAGTGCTGCTGAGCTCTGAGAAGGCAGGTGGAACCAGCACGTCTTGCTCAGACCTCCAGCGTCACCTTGGCTGCTCCTTTGCTGGTGTCACCTCCTGGGTGGCCCTCCCTGGTGCTGGTGTCCTGTGCACCCTCCACAGCCAGGGAAGAGCGTGGAGAGATTTGGGATGGGTGCTTGGCTGGTGGCAGGAGGAGTGTCCAGCAGGTGGGAGCTGGGCTGGGAGCCCCTGGGATGGCTGGCAGGAGCAGCACTTGCTGCTGCAGTTCCAGGCTCCATCGGCACCGTGCAATCAGAAATAAGGGCTTCCCTTCCCTTCCTGTTGCCAAACCCTCCTCAGCAATCAGCGTTTGGGCCCTTGAAAGCAGCAAAATGAATTTCCAGCTGTCTCCCTTTCTGCTGTCTCCTACCAGGCTGCAGCAAAGGTGTCCAGCGAGGGCAGGGCTGGCCGGGTGCCCCGCGGGGCCATGGCCGAGCGCCGGGCGGGCACCAAGGGCCGGCGCCTGGGCTCCAGCCGGCGCAAGCAGCTGCAGGAGGGTCCTGCTGAGGAGCCACCGTGGGCACCTGAAACACTGCAGAGGGTGCAGCACCTGCTCAGCGCCAGGGACACGGAGCAGGCGGGAGTTGTCACCCGCTCGGACGTGCAGGTGAGGGTGGGGCTGTCCCCTGGGCTCCAGTGTTGCCGGGTGTTGGAAATCCAAATGTCCCTCAGACATTTTCAGAGGTTCCAGGCCCAGGTCAGAAGCATTTTAGACCCTGGTAAGCAGCTGAAAACAGCTGTGATTTTGAGTTTGAGTCATGGAATGAGTTACCGACTTTGAAGGTGGAACAAGCGGTCACAGAGGGTTAGATGGTATAGTAGAAGTAATTACAAATTAGAGGGGAAAATTTTTTAGTATTGTACAGGGGGGTTTTAACACCTGTACAGGGGGGTCAGGAGTTCTAAGATGGAGGAAAGTGGGCCTGATCCTGTTCTTCCTCCTTCTTCTTCCTTGCCTCCATGTTCTTGGTGATGTTGGCACTCACAGATTGGTTTAGAGTAGAAGAGCACATTGTAACATAGGTAGTAGGTATTGGGGAAAATCTGTAAACATATAACACGTAATATATCATATAAAAGACAGCAGCAGCCCTGGGTGGGGAGAGAGAAGAAGACACCAGGCAGTGAGGGTGTCAGGGGTGTGTGTGTCTCTGCCTGAGCTGCTGAGCAAAGCAGCCACAGCAGTCTGAGAAGAAAATCTTTTAGATAACCAGCAATAAACTGCCTTGAGACCGAACAACAAGAGGCTGCAGAGTTTTTCTTTGGAAGCACGGGTTGGAGGAGAGACTTTACCACCACACGAGAGCCCTGAATCAATCCCGGGGTTCTCACAGCTGGGGTCACTGGAGATGGAGCGATGGGAGGGTTTTACCCTGATTTGCTTTGGTTTTAGAAGCTGCAGGAGGAAGGTTTGCCGTGCAGCAGGGAGGAGCTGGAGCTTGTGTTCGATGGGCTGGATGCCGCTGGCACCGGGTGCTTGGGCACAGAGGAGTTCATGGCCGGGCTCCGTAAGTGCAGCCTGGGCTGGTGCTGGACACGGTCCCGGGGCTCTCCTGGGGGATGTGGGGCGCTGCCTTTGCTGTGTGGCACAGGAGGAACCATCCCCATGGTCAGCTCTCAGCCCCTGGCTCGCCTGGAGCGGGGCCCTGCTGTGCTGAACCGCTCTGTTGAAGCCGTGGAGGGAGAGGTGCTGGGCTTTGGGCTTTGGGGTCGCCCTGCCTGGGCACCCAGGATTTGGGATTTCTGTCAGCAGGGCAGTTCCTGAGCCCCCAAAAAGCTGCCAGGGAGCACCGGCGGAGGAAGACGGCGTCGCGGAGGGTGCGGCTGGTGCTCCCCGCCCCGGCGCTGGAAGTGGGGGACAGCGAGGAGCGCAGACACTTCGCTGCCTTTATGGAGCAGCTGGGCACAGACAACCTCTCTGAAGAGTAAGTGCCCTGCTGGGCACCCATGGGTGTCGTGCAGGATGGATAGAGGGGGCAGGCTTGGGGCAGGAGATGCCCACACAGGCAGGGAGCCTGGAGGTGCCTTTGGCCCGAGCACAGGAGCAGGGTCACAGTGACCCCAGAGCTCATCTGCCCTCACACACCTCAAAAATGTGAGTGAAGCGACTCAGCTGGCCTGGCTTTGGGGCTTCTGGGGGGATGCTCACCCCAAAACACCCCTCTCCCTGCAGACAGGAGATCTGGCAGCTCTGGGTGAAGCTCCGGCAGGATGAGCCCCAGCTGCTGGACAACCTGGAGGACTTCCTGGCCAAGATGAGGCACCGCATCCAAGAAGCCAGGAGCAAGAAGGAGGCTTTGGAGCTGACTCTGAACAAGTGAGCCACCCCAGGATAGTGCATAGGGATGGGATAGGAGGGATGGGGACAGGGACGGAGCCCTGGAGGACCACCCCAGCCATGTGGAGAAACCTGCGTGCCTTCAGCACACCCAACAGCGGCCGGAGCAGAGGTTCTGCCAACGTTTGGGGTCAGCTCCCTCTACAGTCACGGGAAGGGCAGCAGAAGGGCCGGACTCGGGCTGCTGCCGGACACATCCACACTGGGTGACCCTCCAGGCAAACCCAGCCACAGCCTGAGGCTCCCGAGGGCAGTGTGGGCTCCCAGGGCCTGCACCCCCTGGAGCAGGGTCTCACATCCCTCCCGGCCCTGCTGTCACCACAGGCGTGTGGCTGAGCACGACAGGGACGTGCAGCAGCTCTGCGAGGTCCTGGAGCAGCAGATCCAGCAGGAGCAGCTGCGGCTGCAGCAGCAGGTGGGTCCCGGCTCCTCCTGTCCCCTTGCTGGCCCTGCCGGGGGCACCCAGCACCCCAAAGCCCCTCGGCAGCTGCCGGTGGATGAGGGGGTGCCGGTGTCCTTGTGCCACCGCAGAGCACGGCCCGGAGCCACCAGCAGGGCGAGGAGCTGCAGCGAGTGCTGGATGCCAGCGAGAGGGAGGTGCAGCGCTTGGTCACGGCGCAGATGGAGGTGGGCTGGCCCCAACCCCCCTTTGTGAGTCAGGGGTCTCTGGGGTCTCTGGGCTGTGCTGTAACCACCCCACGGTGCTGCACAGCCGATCCCGGTGTGTCCCTGGCAGCCCTTGCTGCGGGCTGTCCCACAGGACACTCTACACCACATCTGCCACCCCCATCCTCACACTCCCCTCCATCCCCAGAGGACACAAGCCGAGTTTCCCACAGGTGGTGGTGGGGGGGGGTGTGAAATTCAGCCCCGGGCCTAGAGGAGGTGATTATGAATTATTTTGCATGGGGATTTTTGGCTCTGAGTGTCCTGGTTGCCATCCCACAGCTGGAGCGGCGCTGCCGCAGCCTCCACAGCTCCCAGCAAGTCACCAGCACAGAGAACCAGCAGCTGGAGCAGAGCAACCGGGCACTGCAGCAGCACCTGCAGCACCTGCACCAGCAGCTGCAGCAGACCCAGGGCCACCTGAGCACAATGAGGGCTGCCATGGCTTGGGAGCACATGGGGGAGCCAGGGTGAGCAGCTGAGTGACCGTGTGTCACTCACATGTCCCCACACATGTCATTTCCTCCTGGATGGGTGATGAGTTGGATGGGCCTCAGCCACCACGGTGCTGCCCACGGTGCAGGTTAATCGTGGTTTGGTGTGCAAAGCATCAGAGGAACAAGCAGGACTATCAGCACCATGCTCTGCATATGTCCCTGGAGGGCAGTGCCAGGGAGGTGGGGGTGTCCTTCACCCAGGAGGGCTCAGCAGGACTGACCCAAGGATTGTGGGTTTTGCTGACCTGCCCTGTCACTGCCCTGACAGCTCTGGTGCTGGGTGGATGTGGTGGAGAGGATGAAGTTCCCGTTTTGACCCCTGTGCTCTGTGTTTGCAGGGACGGAGTGGTGGCAGAGTTACCCATCGAGGTGCCAGTGTCCCCACAGGTACTTCAGCTGGGTGTGTGGGGACAGGACAGGGGGCCCAGGGCCTTGTGCTGTTCCATTTGGGACTGCTGAGGAGCTCAAGAGCACAGGGTGCTTCTGCAGCACTGCCTCCCCTAAAATCTCTCAAAAGGGGCTGGCACAGATGTTTGGGAAGGGAGGGGGTTGCACCACCTTCCTTCTGGTACCCCCAAGATTTTGGGTGGGTACAGCTGGATACTTGCTGGAGAACTCCACATCGTTTCAGGTGGATATTCTCCCTCACCAAGCATTTCTCTCTCTCCTCTTCCCACCCCGTTTCCTACAGCTGAGTCCTGGGAAGAGCGAGAAGTTCCGCTCCGAGATGCGGATCAGGCTGGGATCCCAGAGCAGCGAGAGCAAAGCCAAGAGCACCCACCAAGTGTAAGGGGTCCTGCTGCTCCTCTGTGTGCCCCTGGGGGCTGAGCTGGGGCTGAGCTCCAGGCCCTTCCTCCACCCTCCCCAGGCAAACAATGATATTTGTCCTTTTAGCACTCCTCTCCCACCCACTCGTCTCTCACCCTGGAGCTCACATCTCTTATCCCAGCTCATCACCCCCTTGGCTCAGAGCTGGCTGTAGGTGGCTGAGAGTTGTTTTTTCCTGTCTGATAATGTTAAGATGGGTACTGGGCAGAGGCCAGGATGCAGCCCCGGGTCTGGCTGCCTGCGTGTGCATCCCCTTTCCCTTGCCCCCATTGTTGCCTGTGTGAACTCCAAGTGCCGTGAGGGGAAATAAAATCAGGTTTGGAGAGGGAAGGGGTGAGGCTGTAGATCAGAAACCCTCTGGGAGTGACTGGGGATGGGAGGGAGCTGGAGCCTGACCTGGGAGCTGGTTCATTGCCCCCATTTTCTGCCCTTTCCAGGGTTTGGGAAATGCTGCCAGCAGAAATAAACCTTTCAGGAGCCCCACAGAAAGCAAGCTCTGCAGAAGAGGATCCCTCCCCAGAACCTTTGAAAGAGGAAGGTGTCCATTTCCAAAGCTCTTTGCTAAGAGAGATGAATGATGCAATAGCAGCTCTGAGCAAACATCTGAAGGCACAGGCACTGGGTGCACCCCTGGCAGACACTCCCTGTCACCCCTGGGACAATGCTGAGCCCCAGACGGGGCCAGAAGCAGCAACAGCCCATGAATCCACCCCTGGGGTCCTGCAGGAGACCCTCCCTGGCCACATCCATCACGAGCTGCTGGAAGGAGACCTGCAAGAGGAGCCAGCCTCAGCTGAGCTTCGTGCTGCGGATGTGACACAGGCTGGTGCGTCCGCAGGAGCTGGGCACTGCACGGCTCAGGAGCCAGGGGCAGAGCAGGGACAGAGCCCAGAGGAGGCACAGAGGATGTCATTCCTGCAAGGAAAGGGTGCTGGTGTGGAGGAGATGGTGCTGAATGTGGCTGAGCATCTGGGAGAGAGCATGGAGGCAGGAGAGCAGGTGCAGATGGAGGTGGAGGGAGCAGAGTGGCTGCAGGAAACAAAACCACAACCCCTGGGAGAAGCTGAGGAAGGGGAGATAAGCCAGAGAGAAAATTTGGAGGCAGATCTGGGGCCACCTGAGGCTGGGCAGGAAGGTGTAGCAGTGGGACAGGGCCTTGCCATGGATGAGCATCAGTCAGGCAGGGTGCAGGGTGAACGTGGCACAGCACTGCGGGAACGGGCTGAGCCAGTGCTGGGGCTCCCAGGGAAACTGGAAACTGAGCTGGGAGAGCACTTGGAGCCAGAGCCACCATCCTGGGCTGAGGCACAAGTGGGAGCAGCCCGTGGGAGTGGTGGCCCTGAGGTGACAGCGGCTCCTGGCCCAGGAGGGCTGGAGGAGGAGCGTGCCAGGGCAGAGGTGCAGCCCCGGGGAGAGACCAGGGACTCCAAAGTGCTGGAGGTGCTGCCAGCCCAAGCTGAGCGTGCAGGGAGCAGCAGAGCTGGGGGTGAGGAAGAGGAGGTGGAGGAAGCAGAGCCCAGGGAAGCAGAGCAGCAGCTGCAGGGTGAGTGTGCCAGGGGAGGCGCGGGGTGGAGAGGGAGTGAGGGCACTCTGGAGCCACTGGCAGTGGCTGTGCCACCCACCCATGGGCAGGGAGGAGTGGAAACAGATGTGGAACTGATGGAGGAACACAGCAGCACCAACATGGAGCTGCTGGCAGAGGTGGAGGCAGATCTGCAGGTCTGGAATGAGGCTGGCTCCCCAGGGACACAGCAGGGAGGGGGTGTGGATCCAGGTGTGCAGCTGGAGAAGGATAAACCCGAGGTAGGGCTGGGAGAAGAAATGGGGGCTGCTGCAGGGCACTGTGAGGGTCCTTCCCCTGCAGAAGCACCTGTGGGCAGCCTGGACTTGTGTGGGCTGTTCCCAGGTAAGTCTCAGGCACTGGAACTGATGGAGGCAGATCTGCAGATCTCTGGGGGTCCCAGCCCAGAAAAACCCCAGGGAGGGGAGGGGGAAGGAGCTGTTCAGCTCCAAGAGAACGAGGAGGAGGATGGGGCAGGACAGGATGAGCACAGGCTGCCACACGAGCCTGTGCCTCATCCCAGTGCAGTGACCTTGGGTCAGGGGGAGGGGGCTGGTGTAGGGCTACAACTGAGGGAGAATGCTGAAAGCCTGGACACTGCTGAGGACCAGAGTACTGGTGCCAAAGTGCAGCTGAGTGCAGAGGGGGATGAGCTCAGACTGACCCCAGGAGGGAGCACAGAGGCAGATCTGCAGCCCTTGGGTGAGGCTGGATCCTCAGGGACAGAGCAGGGAGGGAGTGTGGATCCAGAGGTGCAGCCCCTGGATCAGGAGGATAAAGAAGAGCTTTTGGAAAGGAAGGCAGAGGATGTCCAGGAAGATAGGATGTTCACTGAGGGTCCCAGCCCAGGGGCTCCTTGGGGAGGGGAGGGTGAAAGAGCTGTTCAGCTGGAGGAGGAGGAGGAGGAGGACGAGGCACAAGGACAAGGAGAGCATGAGCTGCCACACGAGCCTGTGCTTGATCTGCATGTGTCAGGGGTCAGGCAAGGTGAGGGGGCAGATGAGGACATGCAAGCACAGGAGGAGGCTGAACGCCTGGACACTACTGAGGACCAGAGCACTGGTGCCAATGTGCAGCTGATTGCAGAGGGGAATGAGCTCAGACTGACCCCAGGAGGGAGCACAGAGGCAGATCTGCAGCCCTTGGGTGAGGCTGGAACCTCAGGGACAGAGCAGAGAGAGAGACTGGATCTGGAGGTGCATCCCCTGGATCAGGGGGATAAAGCAGAGTTAGTGGAAGGGGAGGCAGAGGGTGCCCAGGCAGACCTGCAGCTGTCAGAGGGTCTCAGCCCAGGAGGCCCATGGGGAGGGGAGTGGGGAACAGTCCTTCACAGTGAGGAGGAGGAGGAGGGTGAGGCACAAGTGCAAGGTGAGAATGGGCTGCCTCAGGAGTCTGTGCTTTCTCCAGAAGGAGCACGAGGCCGACAGGGAGAGGGGGCTGGTGCAGGATTAGAGCCACAGGAGGCAGCTGAAAACCTGCACACCCTGAAGGCCCAGAGCACTGACACTGATGTGCAGCTGTTCACAGGTCAGCAGATGCCCAAATCAGGCTCAGGAGGGAGCACGGAGGCTGATCTGACCCCTCTGGGTGTAGCTGGGTTGTGGAAAGGGGAGCAGGGCCTGACTCTAGGTTTGGAGGCAGTTCTGGGTCCATCTCCCACTGCAAACCCATGGGAAGGAGCTGCTGCTGCAGATGTGCCCCCTCCAATGGAGGCTGCTTCGGTTCCTGAGCCTGCCACTCCTGCAGAGGGCCCTGGTCTGGAAGCAAAGCTGGGAGCATGCATTGGTCCTGAGGGGCAGATTCTGGAGGCACAGGAGTTACTGCAGGGAGAGAGAGCTCCTGCAGAGGGGCAGCCTCTGGATGGAGCTCACGGTCTGGAAGCGGCACAGGGAGAGAGGCTGGAGGCAGAGGTGAGGAATGGAGTGAAAACTCAGGGTCTAGGACTAAACCAGGGCCATGATGATGCTGAGTTGGCCTCTCTGGTCTCTGAGGTGCTGTCACAACTCAGCCCCCTAAAGCGGGAAATGATGATGCAGGAGGATGTTCTCATTCCAGATGTGTGGCGGCTTTGTGCTCCGGGACTGGCAGCCCAAAGGGAGCTTCAGGAGCAGGTTTCAGCACAGGGACAAGAGGGGAGGCTTCACACAGTGGCCCAACAGCCAGAGGGGGAGACACCATCCAAGATGGAACCGGAGCACACGGCTGCTGGACCTGCTGAGCATCCGAAGCAGGAGGTGCCACCAGCATCATCACTGCACACAGCAATGCAACCAGGAGATGCTGGGAGTGATCAGCTGGGGGTGGTCCTCAGAAAAAACTCACTGGGGCAAAGGCAGCTCTTGGGAGAACAGAGCAAAGACCTCAGTGTTGGTCAACGAGAGAAGATGCAAGAGTTTGGTCAGAAAATGAGCCAGGAAGGTGAGCCCAGCTCAGGAGAGCCAGGGGCTGTGACTGCATGTGGGGCAGGAGCTGCCCCAAGGGGCTGTCCTAAAGCTGCCCTGGACCCAGACCACCTCTACAATGTGCTGTTCATCGGGGACTCCCACGTGGGCAAAACATCGTTCCTGTACCGTTTGCACGCCGACACCTTCAACCCCCACCTCACCGCCACCGTGGGTAGGTCTCCTCCAGCCCCCCTCCAACACTCGCTTGGTCACGGCTGCAATTCCCCCTCCTCCACCCCACAAGCTGCTGGAGGTCCCCACATGCCCGTTCCAGCTCATGCCAAGCGTGGTGTACAGGCAGTCCCCAGGGGCCACGCAGAGCCACCAAGTCCCCACGCCTGGGCGCTCATGGGTGGGAAATGCTGCTCCTCCTCGTCCTTCCTAGCAACAGTGCTTTCCTCTCTGCTTTGCCTTTCAGCTCCATTCTTCTTTCTTCACCAACCTGGTTTTATTCACCATGAGATGAGAGACCTTCCCAAAATCCAGTGATTAAACATCTAAAAGTCAGAGGTTCACTTGGGACCAACCCCTGGAGCTGCAGCTTCAGACCACCCTGCGTCATGTTTCTTTTCCATCCAACTTCTGTCGCAGGGCAGAACTCTACAGCATCAAAATATCCTTTTTTTTGTGTCTTCCAGGACTGGATTACCAGATCAAAACCCTGGTTGTGGATAACGAGCGCTTTGCTCTCCGCCTGTGGGACTCCGCTGGTCAGGAAAGGTGAGGTGCTGTGCTGCTTAAGGACACAACCTGGGGTTTTTCCCCTGTAGTTCAGGGGCAATTGATATCCTTTGCTTTGCTAAGCAAAGGTGAGATTGCTCAAGGAGGGACTCTGTACAGTATGTGATCTGATAAAGCGTAATAAAGGAAGTAATTAAGATAAAACTGGCACTCAGGCTGTTCTACGGCCCCTGCCATCAGGACAAGAGCCAAATCTGGGGGTTGCCTGTTTTGTAGGCCTGCATTCCCACCTTTCCCAGTAGGATTTCGCATCACACCTAGGCAGAACCTCCTTAGACCATCCTGGTGATGATCCAAAATGCCCGCAGGTACCGCAGCGTGACCAAGCAGTTCTTCCGCAAGGCGGACGGGGTGGTGCTGATGTACGACATCACCTCCGAGCTCTCCTTCTCCGACGTGCGCTTCTGGCTCAGCTGCATCCAGGTGGGGACGGTCCCGAGCTCTTGGGACTCATGGCAGTGGCCAAGCCCTTTGGAAATACCCTTTGGGTATTCTGCATTGCGTTCATTAGAAAAGAAGTTTTTTTCCGTGGAGGATTTAAGTCAGATATAGAAGATTTTCACACGCTGGCAGTGTTTCCCAGGCTAATTTGTTGATAGAACCAGGAGGGTAATAATCAAACCTTAAACAATTAAATACTAGTGCAAAGGAATGAAAAATGTTGCTTTTACATCAAGAATAGTCCACTTTGAGTCCTAGAGAATGGGAGGTTATTCAAGGCCTTTTAAAAACTTCTCTTCAGAGATTTCCAGTTGACACAAAGCCAGTTTTTAAAATTCTGAAACAAAATAGGATATTGACTCACTTGGTGCTTGTAAATCCCAGCCAGAACACCTTCAGACACTGCTGTAGTTGAGCACAAAGTGAATTCATTATAAGTGTAATTCATCCAGTGTTCTGTCATGTTAATGGACATAGGCAGATGATTTAAGGGAAAAAAAAATCTTAAATGCTGTTGAAATTATTTAATAATTTAGAGTTTTGTTATTAGCCCAAATCCGTGGGTGTCAGTCATAGTGTTCCAGGATATTATAGACAGTGTGGCCGGCTGGGATTCAAGGAGGATTTTGAAGCTGTTCTGATCTTCCCTTCTTTCTTACTCAGGAAGGAGCAGAGGATGGAGTTGCCGTTCTGCTTCTTGGGAACAAAAGTGACTGTGCTGCCCAGAGACAGGTCCCTACAAAGGAGGGTGAATGCCTGGCCAAGGTAGGTGGTGAAGCACAGACACCAAGCAAGGAGGGGACAGTTAAAGATCAACTCCACCAGCCTGAAGAGCTGGAGAAAGGGGAAAGCCTTTAATTTACCCCTCATGCATCACTGGTTGACAAAATGTTCTCTGAACCCATCTCTCACCCTTCCCTGCCTCGCTTTCCCTTTGCCACTTCAATTTTGCCTCAGCACCATCCCAGTAAATTGGTTTATGGAACTGGATTTGTAAATTAAAACATTTTCAGCTATGCTTATCTTTGCTGTGAAGTGTTAAGTATCTTCCCAGCATCATAAAAATAATAAACCCACTGAGCACTATCCTGGTTTAAAGATACTGAAATTATCAAAGTTTGATTAGTCTCTTCACATATAGATGGCTAAAACAAATAGATGAGGAGAATGAGAAGAATCTCACTTTTACTGACTTAATTTTAAAGCTTATGGGATTTGGGCCAGAATCCATAGACCAGTTTTGATAATGGAGATGAGGGATAGATGTTTATTTTCCCAAACTGGTAGGGAGCAAAAGAGTTGGGAACATCTACTTATGCCTCTGTCTGTTTACTCCCATAACCAGAAGGTATCACAAATTCTTCTGTCTGCACAATCATCCTTTTCCTTGTATTAAAAGTTGGTGTTGTAGCAACCAGAAAATGTGGATTTCACCCTCATGTTCCAGTAAATAAGTTATTGAGTTATTTGTTTCCTTGATCCCCTCCTGTTTCCCCTTGGCTCGGACTGTCCCATGGCAATTTATTCCCACATTAAACTAGTCCAGTGCAAGAATGTTACATTTCTACTTGGGGTCTGTGTCTTCCAGGAGCACCAGCTCATGTTTTACGAGTGCAGCGCTGCCTCGGGCCACAACGTCTTCGAGTCCATGGCCAGCTTCACCAGGTGAGCCATGTTCTTGGATTTTTCCAGCTGTCCTCAATTAAATGGGCTCCCTCCTTGCTTTTTTCAACTCCAAATACTGGATGTCACCATCACCAGAGACTCCATGCCCAAATGTCAGGGAAAACTCAGGGAAGCACCTGCTGGGATGAACATTTAGCACTGCCCTAACTTGTCTGCTGAACAACCAGCATTGCAAGGAGGTGAATTAAACCCTTTTGGGGATGCTGCTGATTTCTCCTTGGCTTGACTGAACAAGTTCTGTCTGTGATTTGATTTATGTTGGAATTTTTAGCAGCATCCACAGCTCTTGGATCACATGGAACTGGAAGGATCCTGACTCCTTTCAGCTGTGCTGAGCCTCTTGTACCAAGGCTTGTCAAAACAAACAGCACAGTAATGCAAAACAGGGGAACTACCCAGTAATTTGCTTCCTTTGCTCCCAGGTTGCTCAAAGTTCGTGAAGATGAATTGAAAAATAAGGCAGAAGAGGTACCAAAGGCACCCCAGAAGAAAAAGGGCTGCTGCTGGTGATGGACAGACACCCCACACACTGATCTGAAACTGCATCAACAGCCAGAAAAGCATAAAAATAGTCCTTGGACAACTTCTCTTTTTCTGTGTGTCTTCTTTGCCTGATCTTCCTTGGATGCTGAGAGCAAAAGCTGCTGTGGGGGACCCCCTGCCATTCCCCCAGAACACACCAGCCCTCCAAAATACTTCTCAGGGAACTTTGCAACTTTCTTTTGGAGACTAAAAAGAGGCCAAGAAAAGAGGCAGAAAAGGAACCCAGCTGAGTCTGAGATGCTGCAATGATACTGGAAGCAGCAGGGAGTAAACCCAAGCCTTGGGATAGAAGAAATGAAAACCTGAAGCCATCCAAGTGTGTAAAATAAGGGGGTTTAGTGCTGTTGGTAGTCTGAGCTATGGGGACTTCTGTGCTGTCTTTGCAATCTGATTGGATTTGATCAGGAGCAATGAGATATTCAACATATTCTAAATGCACTTAAATATCTCCAATGACACAAGGTAAAGCTAATTTTTCCCTTTCATGGTTTATCCTGCCAGTGAGCAGTGATAAGGCTTGTCAGAAACTACTAAATATTTTGCTGAAAATAAATTCAAAAGCCTCAAGAGCACATCCGGGATAAGAAGAAGATAAATGCTTGCAAGAGGTTTCTTTCATTGTGTTGTCCCCAGAGCAAAATTCTGGATTATTGAACCAAATTTCAGGCTGGGCAGAGAAGAACGAGCTGCTGCATCCTGCTCTTCTGCTCTTTTTGAAGTACTGAATTGGTTTTAAATCCAGCTTGAAGAACCTAAATAAGCACATCACAATTTCAAGGGTTTTTAAAAAAACTTTATACAGCTTGATTGAACTATAGTTTTGCAGGAAAAAAAAAAAAAAAAAAAGACATACAGACTAAATAAATAAGAATACAAGTGCTATATTTTAGTATTTTATATGTTCCATGTAAATTCCCAGCAGTTCAACAGGTATATTTAAAGACTCTGCTTATGTGCAGAGTTTGCAGAAATAATTCTGCCTAGCTGGGTTTACTTTTTGTTGCCACTATTATTTATATGTACATAATGGCAAAGCATAATAGTAGCCAGTTTTTACTTTAGAAAAATAAAGTGACAACAGGATTTGGGCTTCTAGCAACACTATATATTTTCATATATAATTACATATATTTTATATATATCAGCTTCACCAGCCAGGGTCCAACTTTGCAGTGACTCTGGAATTTCTGAGTCTTTTAGGGATGATTTATTTTTCCTGCACACCCTGATTTATCACTCCAGTACCTCTGTACCCTAAGTCTCCATCCCCTGCCTACCTCAAGTCATTCTCCTTTGGCCCCATCATTAAAATACTTAATTTTCTTAATGCAATATATTTAATGCTCCCGTTCCCTTCTCCATCCCTCTTTACCGTATTTCTTTATACTATATTTTTAGTGATGGAGCAGTTCCTCAGGAAGGATTTATGTGGCTCAGCTCAGAGCTGTGCCTGAGGGGCTTTGGTATTTGGGATATCTGGAATTGCTTTTTCTTCTTGTTTGGGATCCTCTTCACTATATCTTCTTTTATTTAAAAATAATATAAATCCAAGTGTACTTTGCAAATTTGATTCATAATAAGAGAAGCACCATTTCAGCTCGATCAACCCAAAAACATTCTACTGGGTCTGTAACATTTCCCCATGTAAAACCACCCATCAGATCAGCTTTTCCTTTTGCCTAAATATGCTGGGATTGTATATAGAATATGCTGCTTGGCCGAGTGGCAGCAGGATTGTGCAAGAAATGGTTTTATTTGATTCCAAAATGAAGAGTTGAGCCGTGCAGGCTGAATTTTCCCATTAGATGGCAGCAGCTGCAGCAATTCCTCCCCACTGCAGAGAAGGACCAGGGAGCTTGAACAGGGCCCAAAGTGGAAGCTGAAAAAAAAAAAAAAAAAAAAAAAAAAAAAGCCTTCCCAGAACAGCAGGCAGAAAGAAATGTCTATCTTATTCCCCTGGAAATCACCTCTAGAAAAAAAGATGGAGTTTGTGCCCAAAGCATGAGTTACTACACTCCAAACCTCCTCGTCAAACTTGGAAATGAATTTTTCATTGCCAGGCTGGGAGAAACACCGGGCAGGCAATAAATCACATTGGAAAACATGGGCAGCATGTTGCACTTGAAAGCACCTTTAATAATTCACATTCCAGCAAACATTCCCACTCTGGGATCAAAGGCACCGCTCCTTTGCAAGCCATTAAACGCCTGCACAGTATTTGGAGGAGGATCAAGGCCTGGGATATTAATAGCAAGAGGGAAATGCATACTTGTTTGGACCACAGGATGTTTTTTTTTTTAATCAGGTGGTTTCCTTTAAAGCTGTTTGAAATTCCTCAAGGCGCTCCACAAGAATTAGAGGAGCTGCCTCAGCCAAGCCAAGATTGGGAAGATCTCGGATCTCAGCCCAAAGTCAGTGGGCATTTACCATGAATGAATCCACCCTGGAAGCTCAGAACCCACACGAGCTTCTGACAAGTTGGAACAAATCTTCAACCACAGCTTTCAGTGCCCCAGCCATGGGATTTGCGTTTTGCTCAGGAGTGTATCCCAGAATTTCACCCCATTCCCCTGGAAAAGTAGTAAAATCAAGATGAGGAGACAATCCCACTCCATGGGCTGGGATTGACAGGGCAGGAAATCCAAACCTGAGTAGAGGAAGTCCTTTTTCTTGCAATGTTTAATTCATCTGCAGAACTCAGTGCTGCAGGAAGTTGTTGAGGCCGATAACTTAAACAAGGCTGGAATTTAAACAAGGTTACTCTAAAGGGACCCGGTCTAGTGGAACAGGGGGAGTGGAATGAGATGATCTCTAAAGTTCTCCCAATACAAACCATTCCAGGATTCTACGAAAATGCATCAGAGAGATACCTGTGGGCTCAGGAAGATGCTGAGGGTTCATGTGGGTGCTGTGTAGGATGTGTCAAGGTGTTGGTGAGGACCTGGGGGTTCGGATGTTTCTTGGGGGGGTCTGTGAGTGATGGAGGATCAGACAGGTGCTGGAGTGTGGTCTCAGGGTGTTTCTGGGCTCAGGTAGGTACTGGTGGGGTGCCTGTGTGTAATGACAGGGTCAGGCAGTTGTTGGGGGTGGTCTCAAGGTATTTATGGATTCAGATGGGTGCTAGGAAGGGTTTTAGGGGTCCTGAGGAGCTCTGATGATCCAGGGGAGGCTCAGGCCAGTCTAGGTTTGGGATAATCATGGACTGAGATGGGTGCTGGAAAAGGGGGTCTCCATACTCTGGGCTGAAATGTATGCAGGGAGTCTCATGGGGACATTGGGGGTGCCAGCAGGGAGGGATGAGGGTGCTGGGGGCTGTTGGGAGGAACTGGGGTGGTTGGGGGTCCTGAGGGGTGTTTGGGACACTGCAAGGCCTTGGGGCCAGTGCAGGTGTTGGGGGGGTCCTGAAGGGTGTTTGGGACAGCAGAGGGACAGGTGCTGGTGAGGTCCTGGGGAATGCTGAGGATTTGGGCCAAGCAGGGTGTTGGAAGTCCTGGGCAGTGTTGGGGGTCCCAGACTGGGCCGGCCCGGGTGTTGAGGGCCCTGGGTGGTGTGGGGGGTTCGGGGCAGGGCTGGGTTCCCTGGGCAGCGTTGGGAGTCCCGGGGAGTGTTGGTATTCCCCGGGCGGTGTTTCCTGGGCGATGCGGCAGTGCCGGGGCAGTGTTGGCTCCCCGGGTGGTGTTGGTTCTCTGGCCGGTGTTGGTTCTCTGGGCAGTGTTGGTTCCCCGGGCAGTGTTGGCTCCCTGAGCAGTGTTGGTTCTCTGGGCAGTGTTGGTTCTCTGGGCGGTGTTGGCTCCCCGGGCAATGTGGCAGTCTCAGGGCAGTGTTGGGTCCTCGGGAAGCGTTTGCTCTCCGGGCAATGTGACAGTCCCCAAGCAGCGTTGGCTCTCGGAGCAGTGCTGGGTGCCCGGGCAGTGTTTGCTCCCTGGGCAGTGTTGGTTCCCTGGCAATGTGGCGGTCCCAGAGCAGTGTTGGTTCCCCAGGCAGTATTGGTTCCCTAGGCAATATGGTGGTTCCCGGGCAATGTGGAGGTCCCCGAGAAGTGTTGGTTCCCCGGGCAATGTGGCAGTCCCGAGCAGTGTTTATTCCCTGGAGCAGTGCTGGGTGCCCGGGCAGCGTAGAGATTCCCCGGGCAGTGTTGGTTCCCCGGGCAGTGTTGGTTCCCCGGGCAATGTGGAGGTACCCGGGCAGTGTTGGGTCCCCGGGGCGGTGTTGGTTCCCCGGGCAGTGTTGGTTCCCCGGGCAGTGTTGGTTCCCCGGGCAATGTGGAGATTCCCTGGGCAGTGTTGGTTCCCCGGGCAGTGTGGGTTCCCCGGGCAGTGTTGGTTCCCCGGGCAATGTGGCGGTCCCCGGGAGGTGCTGGCTGCCCGGGCAGTGTGCGGGCCCCGTTAGAATCCGAGCCGGGCCGGGCCGGGCCGTGACGGAAGCCGGAAGCGGGACCGCGCCCGCCCCGCCGCGGGAGGAGCCGGGGCCGGGGCCGGGCCCAGCCGGAGCGGGAGGAGCCGGGGCCGGGAGCGGGAGGAGCCGGGGCCGGGGCCGGGCCCAGCCGGAGCGGGAGGAGCCGGAGCCGGGGCCGGGGCTGGGCCCAGCCGGAGCGGGAGGAGCCGGGGCCGGAGCGGGAGGAGCCGGGGCCGGGGCCGGGCCCAGCCGGAGCGGGAGGAGCCGCCGGGCGGGACGCGAGCGGGGTGAGGCCGCGGGCGCGGGTCGCGGGGGGTGCCCGGATTGCGGCCTCGGCCTGGGGGGCTCTCCGGCTTGTGGAGGCTGGGGCCGGGGGTGGGGGTGTCCTGCTCAGTTTATTGATTTATTGTTAAGAATACCTCTGGCCGGGGCTCCTGTGCCTCGGAGGAGCGCGGGCGAGGCCGTGGGGCTGTGGCCGGGCGAGGGTCCCTCCAGGGGTTTCAGCAGGAGGCTGGGACCTGATCCCCTGACAGGGCGAGACAGGCGGCATCAAGCAGATGGGAATATATTTTTATATCTATATCTCTATATATGTACATCATTGTAGGTTCACCCGCAAGGTGAACGAGCTTTACCTTTTAAAGACTCCCCCAGCACCGTTTCTGTCTAAATATTTACCTTCTAAAGCCTTGGACTAACCACCCTGGGGTCTGTGGGCAGAGCTGGACGCTGGGGTGCAAACCCTGCAAGCCAAGTGCCATCACTGTTTCTGTTCTGTTTCTGTTCTGTCACTGTGGAGAGAGCTGCTGATTCCTCCCAGGGTGGTGGAGTTCATAAAAAACCAGAATAACATATGGGTTCCTCGTTCAAAGGCCTCCCTCTAAAGGGTTTGCAAGGGATGAGCCCTGCTCAGTGTGTGTGCTGGCAAAGAGGGTACTGTAGCCTGTTGTTATTATTTTATCGGTTGTATCGTAGGGATAGGAAGGGAAATAATGGGTTCTTATTTGTTTTTTAAGGCTTCATCTGTTCTCCCAACAATGTGGGAGCATAATGCCTTATATCCTAGCTTGAGGATTGAGTTGCTCTTGAATTTGTCAAGGAGTTGGATTGGGTTTTTAGTGTCTGTGATTTACAGGGGTTGTCTACGAAGGTGTTTGTTCAAGAGTGGAATGTAAATGGAGAGGGGTGGGAACTGGGATATAGCTCAGTGTTGTATTTTAGCAGGATTTTTCTGTTGTCTGGAAAAGGGGAAACCACAGTGTTTGACAGCATTTCTGTGGGGATGTTTTTTATAAGTGGTTCCAGGCAGATCCTGCAAGCTTGTTGAATCTGCTGGAATTCTGCACAGGACAGCTTCAGGAGGGAAAGCTTTGGCACTTGGGAGCCAGAGGACACTAGATAATATTTTAGACCACTTGCACACCGCTTACAGTGTCCAGGCAACTGGAGTAACCAGAAAAGCTGGAGGGTGAAAAAAAAAAAAAGGCCTTTAATATCCTGCAGATGTGCTGGCTTCTGCTTGTTCCATGAATCAGGGTATTGCATGAATGAAAGAGTTAGTAAAGCAATGGCTTGTTTTTATTGTCACGTGTGTGGCAGGTGCTTTACAGATGAGGAAAAAGAGCCCTTGTCTTGGAGAGGTTAATATGAGATATTATTGACCCAACCTGCTTTGCTTGCCCATGGGGCTGCTCAGGTGGCAAGATCTGGGACAAATATTTGCATGGAATGCAGGGAATGTCGGTAGAAGAGGAGCTAATTAACCTGGCAACACAGTGCAGTATGTTCTCTTGGGTTTTAATTTGGGCTTGGGTTTTAATTTGGCATTTTTACCTTTTTGGTGGTTCTGTGGCTGTGGCTAGAAATTTGACACTGATGTCAATATAACATCTGACATTAACTGCTGGAGTTGAATGCTTAGGCAGCTGCTGA